GCCTATCCGCTATCTGTTCTTATCAACAAGATCATTGATCTCAGACTCTGTGCCGGCTGCTTGGAAGCTTGCCGAAATCTGCCCTATTCTCAAAAAGGACAATCCTCATAATAAATCTAACTATCGGCCAGTGTCGATTCTAGTCACTCTGGATAAAGTTTTTGAGAAGTGTCATAAACGCCAACTCTCTGATTATATTAGATCGATGTTGTCACCGTTCCTGTTTGCGAATAGATGGGGTTACAGCTGTGAAGCGGTACCTCTACGTCTGAGTGAGAACTGGGGGAATGCTTTAGACAATAAATGTTTTGTTGGCGCGGTTTCTATGGATCGGAGTAAGGCTTTTGATATGATCTCGCACGACCTCCTCCTTGCCAAGCTGGCTGCCTATGGTGTTTCTCCACCTAGCCTGGTCCTCGTACACAGTTACCTTAGACACAGATCCCAGCGCGTGAGGATAGAAGATGTTACTTCAGATGTTGTTGTTTTCTTTAAGGGTGTACCCCAGGGATCGGTTTTAGGGCCCCTCCTTTTTAATATTTTTCTTAACGATCTGTTCTCTTATATTAATCGTGCTAATTTGTCCAACTATGCTGATGATAACCAAATTTTTTTTAGTGATCGCGATCCTGAGGTGGTAAAGTCCGTAATCGATGGCGATCTCGCTGTCTCAAGTCGTCGGTTTGATTTTTTTTTTTTTTGTATTTTATTTGTTTTTGGGTTTTAACAGTTTTTACAAGTACGCAAGATACATCACAAATTTCTACATGCATAAATTTACATTACACTACTCTATTACACAAAGAAAATACCACTACACTGGACTACGAGAATAAAAGAAAAGAAAGAAAGAAAGAAAGAAAGAAAAAAAACCAAAAAAAGAGGCATCGCGTATTGATATAAATAATAAATTAGTTCAGCTATTGTTCCATCAGTTGAAGGAGGGGTTTCCATTTGTTGTAATGGATCTCAAGTTTATTATTCTTTTTGGCTATAAAACGTTCTATTTGAAACGTACTCTTAATTCTTTCGAAAAAGGATTTAAAGGATAGAGAAGTCTTATTTAGCTTGGTGCGATAAATAAAATATTTACCTTCTAGTACAATATAATTAAGAAGGATTCCGTCATTGTCATGATTAGGCGTGTCAAAAAAACCAAAAACAATATCTTTAATATCAGGAGACTTCAAAGTAATGCCCTGTGAGTTTAACATGACAGTGACTTCATCCCAGAAAGCATGCACTCTTGGACAATAAAATAACAAATGTTCTAAAGTCTTTAACTCCTTTTCGCAAAAATAACACAATGGGGAGTCTACTTTCTTAAATTTAAGCAACATAACATTTGTGTATAAGATTCTATTTAGTATTTTATATTGAAACTCCCTTAGTTTGGCATGCAAAGTTGTTTTTTAAAAGGCAGTAAATAAATCTTCTCCCAATCAAGATGAAAAGTGTCCGTATTAAATGCTTTGTCGTATTTCTTCATTGCAGTTGGTATACTAGATATCTTAGAGACGAAAATCTGGTACAATGATTTTGAATAAAGCTTCTGTAAAGTCTTCTGTTCACCATCAACCCACAGGGAGAAATTACTTAGATTTTGGTATTGTGTGTTTCCGTAGATAGAAGTCCTATTTAGTTTCAATTCTCTACGCCACTCTTGTGGGAAAGCATTGAGGAGACGGAAAATTAGGAAGCGATCGACCGGTGAGAGAGATGAACGCCATGGCTCCTTATCCAATTTAAGCTCGCCATTTTCATCATAGAGGTTGCCAATTTTTATTAATCCTGCGTCAAAAAGCTTTTTACTATAAACTGATCTGGAATCAATCCATATAAACCTGTTGTTCCATAAGACCTGATTTACTATATCTGAAAGCGAGGAAGGGTTGTCCTCGTTCAAAGAAGACCAAGTTGAAATGCATTCTTTGTAGAAGTCTGAAAGAGCTATTGGTAACTTTGTAAAATCAAAGTTACATTGGAACAAAAATTTACCTCCTACCTTTTTGAGGTAAGACTCCAAGAAAAATTTCCACCCAGCTGAGCTGGTTTCTAGAAATTTCTTAATACAGAGTACTCTTTGAGTTTTAATCATGGACTCGATGTCGGGCATTTTAACCCCCTTTTTCGAGGGAGTTTATCAGTGCATTTCGCTTAACTTTGTCCTTGCCCTTCCAAACGAATGAATATAGTAGATTATTGATTTTTTTAATGAAGTCTTTCTTGGTTGAAATAAGAGATGCTCGATACAAAATTTTTGGTATAGCGAATGACTTGATTACTTGTATTCTTCCTAACAAAGTAAGACCTCTCCAACTCCAGCCTTTCACAGATTCTCTCAGGGATTTCTCGATAGTTTCAAAATTCATTTTGTAAAACAAAGATGGATTATGGGTGAAGTGGACCCCCAGGATTTTAACCACCTTTACACCTAGTTCCGAGGCTTTTATTTCCATATTACCAAGCAAAAGAATTTCCGTTTTGTCGTGATTTATACACAAGCCTGAGTATGTGCTAAAAAGGTTAATGGTATTGAATAGGGCGAGGTGTGACTGCTTGTCACGGACAAATGATGTCATATCATCTACAAATATAACTAATTTCAGTTCATTTCCATCTACGTTAATACCTCTTATTTGATTGTTATTTCGCACAGAGATAGCAAGCAGTTTAAGCACTATGATAAAGAGGGATGGCGATAGTGGATCGCCTTGGCGGACACCCCTTTTGAGGTTAAAAGAGGGAGTTGAAAAACCATTATTTGTCACAGAGCTTGATATGTTACTGTAGAACGTTTTAATCCATGCCCTGAAAGACTCTCCAAAACCAAACGATTCCAGTGATTTTGATAGAAAATTCCAATTTACGGAGTCAAAGGCTTTCTCAAAATCTATAGCAGTGATAATACCTTTGTAGTCTTTTGCTTTCGTAAAATCCATTACATCACATTGTTCGGGTTGCGTCAAATAGTCCGTCCCTTAACGAAGGTATTTTGATCGTAATGAATAATATCCGGCAATACTTTTTCAAGTCTCTTTGCAATGGCTTTTGACCCAATTTTAACGTCTACGTTTAGGAGGGATATTGGTCTCCAATTTTTTATCAATCTCCTGTCCTTACCCTTGTTCTCTATTAATGTTATTACGGCTTGCTTTTGTGTATTCGATAATTCCCCATGAAAGTAAGCATAGTTTAATGTGTCTACAAGAAGCGTACCAATTTCTGGCCAAAAGAAAGTCGTCGGTTTGATGATAACAAGCTAGTGCTCAATCCCGAGAAATGTAAGTGTATTATTCTTCGAAAAAGCTATCCTGGTGATCTTTCCTTTAGTATTAATGATGAGCAGGTTCCAATCGTAGACCATTTAGATCTTTTAGGTGTAACTATCGTTAACTCGCTAAATTTTAGCAAACACATTGCCAAGATTACTAACTAGAAAGTTGGAAAGTAGTTGAATGCTTTGACCAGACTTAAGAACATGCTATCGATTTCCTTGAAAATGTGCCTCTACAACTCGTTCGTAACGTCTTACTTCACTTACTCTTCTGCTACTGTTCGGCTCAACTGTAATGAGTCTGATAATCAGAAGCTGGAAAGGCTTAATGCGAGAGCGTTAAGGTGTGTCTACAACAAACGGGTGCCCCTTTATGGCAATGATGAGTGCGGTTTAAGTTTGTCTAATCGTCGACTACAGGACATTGCTATATTGATTTTTAAAGCTGTAAACGGCATGTTACCGGAATATAAGCGACTTGTTTGGCGTAGGAAATAATATGAAAAACTTAAGAGGCACCAACAAGCTCGTCGTCCCACGTAAGAATACTACAACCTTTGGCTTAAAATCTACACCTTTTATTGGTGCCAAAGTGTGGAATTCCTGACCGGATGAACTACGCTTAACGACAATTCTTAAGGAATTTAGGAATGCTGTAAGAGAGCTACATTTGCAATGTACAGTCTATTAAGATCTTTTCACTGTTATAATTCTTAAGAGTTAAGATTGTTTACTTACTTAAAGTTAGACATTAGTCATTTTTCAATTTTTCGTTAGTTTATTTTACTGTTCTCGGCATATTAGCACGTACTGCCAGGGGCCTAATCAGCCTCATTAACCCGCGTTGAAACAAAATGAGTCCCCATGAGGAATCGAACCCCAGACCTTCGGATTCCACGCTCTGACGCGGAATCTGAGGTCTGAACCTCAGACCTTCATAATAGACCTCGCTCACCGTAGAGTCTCTGTGGCTCAGTGGTAGAGCATCGAAGCGCGGAACCCGAAGGTCTGAGGTTCAATTCCTCATGGGGACTCAGAATTTTTCTTTCTCCTACGCTCGTGACAAGACGAAAAACATCCTTCTTACGATTGTTTACTCACTTAAAGTAGTTAAAAAGTTTGTCATAAGTCATTTTTCAATTATTCGTTAGTTTCTTTCACTTTTCTGGGCATATTAGCACGTACTGCCAGGGACCTAACCAGCCTCATTAACCCGAGTTGAAATAAAATTACGTACCTACTTACTTAATTCGCAGGTCCTTTTGTTAACGAAGAAAAGTCCCATTTGCAACCTATGCAGATAAGCGAATGGCTGGGTTTTGTAATCAATACCGATACTATGACTTTTCAAATTCCAGAGAAGAAGGTGCTCAAGCTTAAAAATCTTCTGAGCACCGCAATCACGGACGAGTCCTCTTCGTATCGCGAATTTGCTAGAATAGCGGGCTCTATAATTTCGCTTTCCTTAACAGTGGGTCCTATTTCGCGTCTTTTCACTTGACAAATGTACCTAGCGATCGAGTCTCGATCAGGATGGGATCGCACCTTTCGTTTCCTTGCAGCACTTTTGGAAGAGTTGAAATCCTGATATTCGAACATCGGTTCATTTAATGGTTACTCTCTTCGACCTCCGCCTGACACGTCTACCGTCATATTCTCTGATGCAAGCGATGTCGCCTTTGGCGGGTTTTCAGCATCGTTAGACGGTTTAGCGGCCACCGGTATGTTCACGTTTGATGACCTCGGTCAAAGCTCTACTTTCCATGAGCTGAAAGCTATCTACTATGTGTTATTGTCCTTCGCTGGCCAGCTTACGCACCAAAGGGTAAAAGTTTTCACTGATAATCAGAGAGCTTCCAGAATAGTGTCCATAGGTAGTTCTAAAGTTCGCCTCTAGTTGGTTGCATTATCTTTATTTCAGTTTTGTTCTGCATGGGATATATCCCTCGAATCATAGTGGATTCCCAGATCGCTGAATGAGAAAGCTGATCACTTCAGTAGGTTTTGCGATAAAGATGAATCCATCTGTTTTCCGGCTAGTGGCTGCCAAGTGGGGTCCCCTCACAATCGACCCTTTGCAACCTAGGACAATGATCCAAGATTTAACTCGAAGTTCGCTTCTCCTGGTTCCAGTGGGGTGAACGCCTTGGTGCAAGACTGGAGTGGTGAGAACAATTATATTGGATTTGTCCTCAAGTCAGGCTCGTGGTGGATTCCGTCCGTCATCTGACATCATATGTTAGTCGCACAACCCTGATCATTGCAGAATGGCCCTCGTCGTATTTTTGGCCTTTTTTACGCCAGGGATGTCAGTTTAAGCCTATTGTGGTAGAAGTTTTTTCCCTCCCGGCGATGAGCAACCTTTTGCTAGAAGGGCCAGGACAGAAGCCCCTACTTGTGGCCTGTTTGGCCCGTAATTTTGGGCTGATTTGGCCGAAGATCAAGTTGTTTGAGCGTTTGGGGGGATTTTTCCCTTTTCGGTTTTATTATCAAACACCTATTCAAATTAAATGGTTTTGAGATGACTCCTTGTTATTGTTTCAGACGTTCTTCTTTCCGGGACCAATCATTACGTCGTTTGGTTCCAGGCCTTCTACGTTTGCAGCTAGGATCGAAGGCTCCATCCACTGTGTCTATGTATAAGTCTGGCTGGTTAAGATGGCGAAAGTGGGCGTCTTCGAAGAATAGTAAACCTGTAAATCTGGCCAAGCCTTTGTATATTGCCTTGTTTATCAATGAACTTACGAACATTTGTGTGGAAAAATTTATGGGTGTGTCACCCATTGAACTTACGCTCTATGGAGGGTCATACTATGGCCGGGATGGAATCTTGCCTCACTGGTCGTCCACTCGCGAAATCATCTGTCGAAGTAGCGAAAAGGAAGGTGGCTCGTCCAGTGCAGCCAAAAGAGCCTTTGTTCGCAGATAGAGACCAAGCAATTGCTGATGCTTGAGGGTCCGGGACTGGGCTTATTTAAAGGTCTGGATCCGGGAATTTAAAATAAGAGGGGAGTGAGATGCGGGATTGCTATCATGAACGGGACTCGGGAATCGGCGTTTGAGGAGCGGGATTCGGGAAATAATCACTTAAACGAACCGAGAACCGGGATGTCCGTCGACGAGAATTTATGAAGAAATTGATCTTCTCAGCCCACGGAAAGCACCAGGCGAACAGGCTCTTTAGCATTCAGGAGGCGGTCGGGCTGTTCGGCGACAATCTTTGAGTCATTGTGTGGCAATGAAAATTATATCAGAAGCGAAGTTGCCAATTAACCAAAAATCCTCAATGGTCCAAAGGGTAACAAGGCATCTAAGACTGATGCGTCAGTTGAAATGCTTAACGGCCTCGAAAACCCCCACGGTGTTAGATTACCCAAGAAACTTTGCAAATGCAGCAAAAGATGGCTTAAAGGGGACAACCCGTTGGGCGGTGTACTATTTTACAAATCCAAATTCTTGGTATCCTTTACTTGAGACGGGAAACAACGGTGGCAATAGCTGGAACTCCCCCTTTGTACCTCTCTCAGAGAGAAATTTAGCCAGGGGAACCGGTCAGCCTCGAACGCTCTGACTTCGAGGAGCAGCAAGGAAACAGCAGAAAACAAGACGAATAGGAAGATGGAATATTATCGTACGATTCCCCGTGTGATGATGGTTACATGGTGACATTCCATCTTTGGAACGAGAGGCTGATTTTTACCTGGGAAGATGAAAATCAGCTTCGAAAGAAGTATTTGCTTCAACTGCAGTGTAACGGCTGCCACGCCTTTGCCACCGGACATTGATTCGCTTTAACTTTGATTCGTGTTAAACCGCAACAATGATGTTACTGTTTGTCCGTTAGGGACGTGATCTTTTAAGTTCCACCCGGAACTGCATTTTAGTTGGTTGTCTTGCTTTGGGCTAATGATAAGACGTGTTTACCGGAAGAGCGCCTTTTTGCCCACCTTATCTTCGTTTTGGTTAAACTCTTACAAGCGGGACTGTTATGCAAGTGCCTTTGTTCCTTTTCTTTGTGCTTGTCTAAATATCTAGTATTTTGGTAGTTTCGCCTAGTTTTTACACAATTTTCCTTATCGCTCGTTTTCGCAACCTTGTAACACGTGGCTTACGTTGTTCACGCTTCGTTAGAACGCTACACGTTTCTCCCACTTGGCTATTAGTTTTTGTTAGAGTTCGTTTTCAAGCGGTTTTCCTTTATCCTTTTTTTAAATTTAGCTCACCTTTTTCCTTACTACGTTAAATAAAACGATTTTGTGCGCAAAATATATCCTCGCTTCATAGTGTCTTCATTTGCGAAACTCGTAGTTGTCGTCGAAATGTTGCTTCGCTTCTGTCGTCGGCTACAAGCAGAATTGTGTTCAATTAAGTCTTCTTTATCTCCCTTGTTATGAAACTATGGGATTGCCGTCATCTTTTGTGTTTTATGCACTTATTGACATTGTTCTTCGTTTCTTTGATACCGACCTGTATGTATTAATTCGTTTGTCTGTGATCGAAGTTTAACGGAAGGAAGTCGTTACCGTGACTAGCGTATGTTATTCGGGTAAAACTTTGAAAACTTCTAAAATAAACGATATCATTACCCTTGTTCGTCGTATGGTTGAGGCTAAGTCTCGCGAATATTTCCACTCTAGCAAATAAGTTTCCGTAACTACGCTAAGAGATAATTTTACAAAGCACATAGAACCTTTCGTGGACGATGTTTCCACGTTCGGTATGCATAGTATTAAGTCTGGTGCTGCCTCCAACCCCGCTTACGGACGTATTCCAGGTGACCTATTGGATATACACGCGGGGTGGAAGTGTCCTTCTTCAAAGAGTAGATGTATTAAGCACACAGAACACAGATGGTGGCTGTTTAAATGTGTCAAAAGTACTTTTGCTGTAATTTAATTGTTACATACATACATACACTTTATTGAGCGTCCCTAAAAAGGGCTTTTTAGCATCAATATTAAAAAGAAAATTAAATAGATAAATGAATGAATGAATTACATCCCTAATTGATAAAAACTATGTAAAAATATCTACAAGGATAACTAAATGAATAATTAATCACATCACTAATTGATAAAAATACTATGTAAAAACTATCTACTAGGATAACTAAATGATAACCATATACAATGGTTATCATCTAACCTAGTTCATGTCACAAGTCAGGTCTTTGATTAAACGTCTCTTAAAAGATCTAGTATTTGTTACTTCCTTTAGGTCTTTGCTTAACCTATTCCATATTTTCACGCCACGATAATAAAAGGCGCGTTGACCAGCAGTGATTCTACAATGTGGAATATTGAGGCTGTTTCTATATCTTGTCTGCCTGTTGTGAACAGTAGCTTGAGTTGAAAATTTGTCCGACAAGTAGCTAAGTGACAGTCCTTGAAGACATTTATGCATCATAACTGCATCATTGACCATAAGTCTTTGTTTGACATTTAGCCATCGAAGTGATCTCAGACCTGCAGAGATATAGTCATATTTGCGAAGCCCTAAGATAATCCTGGCTGCAAAATTTTGAACAAGCTGGAGCTTATGGACGTTTATCGCCGAAGTGTTGCTCCAAACTGAGGAGCAATAAAAAAGCCTGCTGAAAACAAAACTATTAATAATCAACGAAAGCGTTTCCTTATCAAATAAATGCTTAATTCTATCGATCTGGATCAGTTTGTTCATACAACTAGCAACCGTTGTACATATGTGTTCATTATAGGAGAGGTACTGATCTAGAAACACTCCAAGATCCTTTGCTACAGGTGTTGGTAATATTGGTTTACCACAAAGTGCTTTTGTAAAGTCAAGTAATCGTTGTAGCAATTACAGCACGCCTACCACAAGAAGTTTGGTTTTATCTGGATTCATAAGCAGTGAATTGTGACAGCACCACCAACAAATTTCTCTTAAATCGGAGTGCTGCGGAGACTGCGTCACATAACTCATTAGTTTTAAATATCAAGTAAAGTTGAGTCATCAACATAACAAGCAGTTTGACAGAGTTTAGGCACAGTTAACAAATAATTTACGTAAACAGGGAACAGGAAGGGGCCAGGAATGTACCCCTGTGGAACGCCATAATCAATTAGAAGAGACTGCGAGACTACATTCCCGATACGAACGTGCTTCCTCTGAGGTAGCTTTTGAACCATGCTAATGCTGATGGTGACACACCAAGGCTGCCAAGTTTCAGCAGCAACATCGTTCACGTCCCTTGCAAAATAAGACATGAATATTCTTGTTATTTCTAGAAAATTTCAAGAAATTTCTAGAATTTGCCAGTTTTCTCTCCGGAAAATTCTAGACCATTCTAGAATGTTAATGAAACATGCTAATCAGGGTAGAATCTGCCAGAATTTGCCAGCTTATTCCAGAAATCACAAAATAGGATAAAATCAGGTTTTTTCCAGCTTATTACAAAATGTAGATTTCTAGAGTTTTCTAGAAAATTCTTTCATGCTCCTTAAAGAAGCAGTGATATGGATAATGTATCAATTTCCAGCTTTTTCTAGCATTTTCTAGATTTTAAATTTTTTTTCAGCATTTAGTCCAGCTTTTTCAGGTGTTTATTTCATGATGATTCACTCTGACTAATGACTATAATAACTTTTACTTGCAACTAATTTATTAGATGTATCAAACAAGACCAAGTCTGTAATCTACCATGAATCTTAACAGGCTTTTTGTTTGTAGCATCCACATGCCCAACAAAAACAAGAATAGTGCTTTTTTTTGCCAGCAATACCCTGAACAAATTTATTTGAAATTCTATACAGTAAAAATGAATTATCCAAAATATATGTTACATAAAGTCTTTTCTTTGTTGCTATGCCTGTCCTGAACTGAAAAAACATTGTCTTTTTTGATAAAAAAAAAACATGCACAATAAAATGTTTCCTAGAGCTTTCTCTGTTCTTGTCCTATGCATTTGGCCTTGTTTTCTTTATTTGCTCTGGCCTTTTTTTCTTTATTTGCTCTGGCCTTGTTTTCTTTATTTGCTCTGGCCTTGTTTTCTTTATTTGCTCTGGCCTTGTTTTCTTTATTTGCTCTGGCCTTCTTTAGAACCAGGCCAAGTTTCTTTCTCACAGATGACCTTGTAGCTGCAGTGAATCCTTTCCTTAGCACAATACCTGTAAAAAGGAAAAAGTAAATGCAAGCAGTTTAAGTAAAAAGCATGTTACATTTGAAACTGTATCATGAAAAACATAAATTATACAGGGGAACTCTTCCTGAAAGAACTTGAATTATTTTTAATCATATGTTCATTACTGAATTTTTAATTGCTGAATTTAAACCAGTAAATAGATGCAGTCAGCTTACATGTGTGCATCCTTGTTGCCACCCAATTCATATTATGTGCTGATTCATTCAGGAGGCTGCAATTGTTCTGTTTGTAGATACTCCCTTGCACTCCATTCCACGCGCCAAATGGCACAATCTATGAACTGCACCCTCCCAAATGAATCTTCAGGTAATTTTAATTGAGTGGCAAAAAGGCTGTAAACACATACATGTAAGCTGGTTTGCCTATGTTATTTGAAGTGCAAATGTAGTTGGAAATGTTGACCATTTGACAGCATGTAGTATGACAGTATGTATGTGCAGTATTTTGACATGTGGCCATAATGATTAGAACTTTTCTTTCAGCTTCCATCAATGTCTAATGCATATATTTTTTAAACAAAAGTCAAGGAAATGCAGCCAAGACCTGTGACACAAAACCAAAAACAGTGAGCACATATAGGTGTATATAAATAATTAAAGAAATACACCTTTAAAAATTAACTCACTTTCTAAAAGGCTCCACCTTGATGGACTCAGGCCTGGTCTTGCTTCATAATCTTTATTGCACTGAAAGCCAGCGACTGATGAATTCTGCAGTTCCTCACTTGAGAACAGCTGCCTTGCTAGTGCCTCCACAGCTGACTTTGCATCGGTAGCATCCTCTATTAACTTGACCAATGTCTCCTGACTATAGTTTTGACATGAAAAAGATATTAACAAGAGAGCATAGACATAAAGCTAAGAATGAAAAGAACCATCAAAATCGAAAACCTGTTTGAAGTCAAAATTCTTGAGATTTATGTTTTAACGAGCAGTGATGTGAAGATCAGGTATCTGGTGATTTCGCCAACGAGTGATTTCGCCAACGTCACGTTCGCCAATGTCTTTGGTCGCTTGGCCAACGCGATGAGTCGCTTGGCCAATGTCCTACTGGTCACTTTGCCAATGTATTAGTTTACTCTAAATAAAAATTTACCATTACTTCTTCTTGCTTCTGTGTGTTATTTACTTGACTGAGCTGACTTAATTTCCCCGTTCGAACTTAGTTTCCTTCCGTTATTTTGTTCGGACTTAGTTTCCTTCCGTTATTTTGTTCGGACTTAGTTTCCTTCTCTTGTACGCGCAACTTAAAACACAGTGGGCCCACATAAATGCATGGCACGCCACACGTCACCGGCGCTGTACGTTGCTGAATTTAACTTAGAGCAATAAAGTCGCGTGTGTGCAACCTTTTCCTTAAGTTCTTCTATAAGGTTTATTTGTCGATAACAGAGATTTATATAATTACCTTTGAGACTTCTAGAACAGAGATTTATATAAATACATTGTAGACTACTACTACTACTAATTCTATAACTCCAGCGCATATTATAACTTCGATCAAGAGTATATAAGTATTACAAGAAACACACGCTTGTATATTACCATATGAATAGACGCGTAAACTCATTGTGTTAAAACTTGTTAATTTTACCCTATTGTTCTAAATAAACCAATCCAATTGCTTGAAACTAACTGGTATGATATTTTGATCCTTCAAAGTGTATAAAACACACTGGCATGCGAAGAATGTTCATTTCAATCATACGATTACGACACACTCTACTACTCATAACGAATTATCTCGGAAACCTTTATCTCGGAATACTATTAATATCAGGATGGCTACTGCGCAGATTTTAAACTGTATTGTTTGTCACGAACTGGTATGGCCTCGGCAGCAAGCGGTTCAGTGCGATGGATGTTTTCGCTGGAACCATCGAATGTGTAACACTGGTAAGTTATATTTACTTATATATACTCTGATACTCTAAAAAGTAGAGACCTGGGCCAGGATTATAAGTTGATGGAGGATCTAATTTCTCTTTTATACAACTGTTGTTGCTTATCTTACACCTAACAGAAGACATCTAAAAGTAAAAAAAAACTCATAACGCTGACCAAAACTGAACCGTGACCAATGTTATTTAGTTTCTTATATCATCTGACAGTGAACTTACTTAAAATGAACTTACTTAAAATCCGTGCATTTTGTAAATAGGTTTTCCACTAAAATATTTTGCACTTGTAAATATTTATAAAAGTACGTATTGTTATTAAAATGTTGTTGATATTATACATGTTATATTTTATTTCTGACTCGTTTTGAAGGCTGGAAAACAAACTCTGATTGTTTCTGAAAAATGTTAACTCGTTAATTCACATCGTAACGCATTTTTCAAGTAAAATTTTGAGTTATACATTTTTGGAACACATTTGGAAGCCATCGGAGTTTGTTATTCAACAGTTTTAAATTACCGCGATGTTAGTGCTCACACGCCGGCTTTTGCTGGATCTGTCAAAAATATGCAAATTGTTTGGAAGTCAGCCAAGCGAAACTAGCATTAACTTAAAATTGTTCTGACCCAAGTATCAGCATTATATCCGAAGTATCAGTAAGCACCCTTTTTACTAAGCTATTACTAAGTTATTACTAGACATTTGGCGTTGGCGAAGTGACCAGCAAGCGATTCATCGCGTTGGCGAAGCAAACAAGGACGTTGGCGAACGTGACGTTGGCGAAATCACTCGTTGGCGAAATCACCGCAATTCGAAGATCAAACCAAGGAATTCGAAAGAAAACGGGTTTACCAACCATTTGTAGCACTTCAAAACGAAAATCAATGTAATTGAGAAAAATACTGGGTGTATAAACTCACCAAATACTGCAAGAACATGTCCCTGAAACAACATGGGTCTCTTTGTCGCTGGATCTGTTCCTTGCAGTGAACATTCATCTCCTTCTCTCACATTGAAGGGATCACGAACGATGATCTTCGAGGAACTCTGCGCCTCCACTCCCCACGATCCCCAGTCAACAACAACGTACCTGTGCTTTGGCATTTTCGGAAATCAAAACTAAACAGAACTCAGCTGAACAGGACGAAACTGAAAGTTAAAACGGACGCCAAGGACGATCACGGTAAAACACGTGGAGATATGAATGTCACACCGCGAACAGACGCTTCCAAATTCAAATCTGGTGGGACTTTTGCTTTGATCGTATTGAAAAGCTGTGGTCACTTCAAAGTCGGCGAGAAATATCACAATCTGGCATGGGTCGAAAATAAACACGTGTGAAATTCTTCAGGGGCAAGGTTTGCCAGATGGTTATTCTTCTTGTTCGCTTCGCGCCCATTCTGTCCAAGCATCACTCTTTCTTGCAAAGTTAATAAAAAAAATTCGTAACAAAGTCCTCCGCTACAAAGTAAAGGATTCCCTGGACACACTTCCCATTTTTTGTGAAGCAAGCGGCCGTTACAACCACAACTGCCGATCCGCCATGTTTGTTTACCAAATGCCGACGAATTTCACCGCTGACCAGTTGATCGCTGCAACGACGGCTCTTATGTACGCGATCGCTGTGGACTGTATCCTTGAGGGAAATCATTTACCTTTCTGGCAACCCAAACAATTGGTGTGTTGCTAGGGCTCCGAATTGCTGTGGTCATTGTCGATAAAGTTGTTTGCAATTAACAAAAAAGTGAGTCATTTACTTAGTTATCATTATACTTGTGGTGTTAAGTATCTCTCTGCAAAGTTGGCTCTTCATAATGTGAGACCTGACAAAAGCAACCATTCTTAAGGTGTCAGTGGTTGTCACAATGTGACTTTCAATTGTTCATTCTGAAGAAAAATTTGGACTAAAACACAAACAGGAAGATAACAGAAACAATCTATTCTAGTTGTATCTTGTATTTTCATTAGTGTAAATTCCCTTATGCAAATTTCTTATTCAAAACTCTGCGGTGAACAGAATTTGTCGGAGTTCTTACTTGATTATGAGAAACTTGTTTAAAACCAACAATGTTAGTCACTGATTAGATGACTGTATAATCAGACAAATCTGCTAATAAACATTGAATAGTGGTTTTGTATTATGAAAAAAAATCAGCATGTTGAGAATCCATTTTTCAATGACAGGTGACTTAAAACTGTACATCAAGTGTACCTGCCCAAAACTGATTGACCTATTTACTCAGGGTTTCCGGCAACATTATTGTAAATATCAGATCACTGATCACCACTGCTAACAAAAAAGAAAAGATCCCACTGATCTTGAAAAGGTAGATGTAGAATTTAAAAAAAAAGAGCCAATGATAGTTGTGTAAGTTTTACCACTTTTAATCTATTATGTTTGGCAAGCTGGAAGGTAAAGTACATCTTTTCATTTTCTTACTCAAGGCTTTAAAATGAAATGAAACTGACTAATCTGACAATTTCTCTCAGTTTTGCTAAATGTAAATTAGTTGTGAACTATTTCTTGCTTATTCCAGTTTCCTGCAAGAAATATAGACTGGAAAAAGCTGTCAATTTCTGGCAGCAGCTAATGCATGCATTAAATTCCAGCTATTTCCAGCTTTTGAAAGAACTTAAAACTTGGAAAAAGTGGGAAAATGTTTTCTAGAAAGAAGCTTGAATAGGATTCTGGAATAAAGCTGTCATATTCTAGAAATTTCTAGAAACTTCCAGAAGTTATCAGAAAGATGGACATCATTCTTATAGCTACTTAGTTGTAGTCTTCTTATACAGTGTATGTTAAATGTAGTATAGTCTAATGGTGGGAGACGTGAGTCGTGCTGGCCTGTCTCAGATTTCCTGCCCTTTTTTCTTTTAGAGCTTTTTGAGGACAGGTTTTTCTGGCCACTCTGGCATGCTCGCAAATTACTTTGTCAATTCTTTATTTCAATTTAGTAATGCTTGTTTTAACAGGAGTTTGGGTGTCCAGGTCTTTAGGGTTTGCTCATTGACTCCTGATGCATGGGAACCAGTGCAAGTCAAGGTAACATAAGATGTATACCATTCCTTTATTATTTGTAAGCACTATGTTTTGGGTTTGCAAATGTTGTACTGGACAATACTCTGGCATAATTTTAAATGGGCTTGCATCTTAAAGTGATCAAGGCATAGTCTCTGACTTGGTGATGGAATATTTTTAATTTTAGAGAAAAGGTACAGGTAAAATAGAACTAAATGAATGTTATGTAGTAATTTTAGGTTTTGTTTTTAAGTTAATGACAGAATTGGGAAATGAATTGGTCAATGGAATTCTTAAAGCAAAAGTCAATTCCCATACAAATAAACCAACTCCTCAAAGTAGCAGGTACTTTTTGTTGTTTTAAATATTAATTCCTAAATTTTTATAGTTTATAACATTTTTTGAAAAATAATTATCAAATTATTTTTGTTGAAGGGGTGAAAGTGAGACTTGGATGAAGTTAAAATATGTACAACACAAGTTTGTTTCCCAGGAAACCTTTCTAAAAAACTGTCAAACTTTGGACAAAGGGATCATTAGAAATCTTGCAAGAATGAAAAAAAGTAAACTTTTCTAAAGGAAACTTGCCATGTGAACAAAGTACTCAGTTTTATCCGCTTGCTATGGAAACAACTTTCATACGTGTGTGAGCGGCATCAATTCAAGTTATGATTTTAATGGCTTCACACATGCTCGATTAATTGTTTCAGGTTCACAACTGCACTGATTAGACTGAGCACTAAAGAAAATGAAATAAGAAGCTTAAAATCCTACTTTGTTTAAATGTGGCTGATTTTGCCCAAAACTTTCATAAAATTCTGGTAAGAAGTCAATTGTATTTAATTTTAGCTGGCCATGGGATAATTTGTTTCACACTTTGTCCTTACAAGTTAAGCTTTAATGGACCTAGTTTCCATTTCTTTGTCGGTGGACAGATCAAGGACATTTAAGTTATTTTTATTCATTTCAAACAAACATTTTACAAAAAATATTGTAATCAGTCAATGAAGATTTCCAGTTGCTTCTTTAATTAGTTTCTGCCTCAATTCTTTTGAAGTGCATTATGCACGTTCTGTTTACTATGAAAAGAGTTTCAATGGTGTCACATTGTCTTTGCCCTTGTGGCATTTAAGATCGATTTTATTGAGGAATTAAATATCCTCAAGTATAATTGGTGTTTGTTTTTTTCATTCTGCAAGATTTTAATCTTGCTTGCACATACTTCAACAATATCAGTATTGTATTGCTGTGCCAGTAAACACCATAAGGCTCTCTGGAAATTCCTGTTTATTTTAAAGCTTTTCCCAAAAGAAGAGCTTTTACCTCCCTCCTTTTAAGAGTGGTAATATTTTTGTGTCCTTTTTTTCATTTTTTGAGTTTTACCAAGCAATTGTGGCCAGTGTAGGCTCAAAAGTTTGATAATTTATAATTAAGTATTGACAGAATGAAATGATAATATCCTTGTTGATATTTTTAGAAATCCTCATTATTTGTCTGCTTGTCATGGTATTGATGCTGTGAGGAGAAGGTGTTTCTTGGTCACTGCTGGGAGTGAATGGTTAAAATTATTTTCTAAAATGACCTCCATTAAGTATCTCATGCACAGTCCCCTAACCTCTGTGCCTTGTCTTAAGGCTTGGTCTGGCTCTTCCCTTTAGTCTTGATCATGATATAAACATTCTTGTGCCACTCATGATCATTGATCATTTTCATATTATTAAACTTATTCAGTTTGTAATGTTAGTGTCTGGCAGAGAAGCAGGGGAAGTAAACAATATCAATATAGATTATTTACATTCTTTAGTCACTTTTATTAAGCAGTATTGATCCCTAGTAAATGTTTTTTTTTTTTTTATATAGATTACAGATTGATCAAAATGAACAAGATATCAATGTTTTGGAAGTTGCTTTAGAAAAGGTGAATTTTTTACCATTTCTGTTTTTAGTGTGTACATCAAATGGAGAAAGATCAGAAACTGGGAGAATAAGAATTTAGGAAATAAAAAAGTAATGTAGACATAGATTCCAGTAATATGTGGACCTTTGAGAATTAAGGCTTCAAGAAATAAGTTTGGATTAAGTTCAAACCCTTCACATTGTTGTGTTAGCCATATGGCTCAGTGTGCACTTTTATTGATAAACAGTAGAAAAATCCCTGTTTGAGGGTTGTATAGGATAGTGGAAGTAGAGATGGAGGAAATGTATATCCTTGTGTTTTTTGCCATGAAATTCAAGCAAGAAGAAAGTGCAAAAAAATGAAGAGAAGAAATCATATGACAAGGTGCTTATTGACTGAGTTTAGTTGGCCCAGAGAGCTAAATATTTCTTGTTTGTGTTTAAAATAAGTACCAAGTTTTGTGCAGAACTCAATTTATAATAACTTTGAATAAGATGCATTCTTAAATTGCAGTATTGTCAGCATCAGTTCAACATAATTTTTTGCCTTTGTGTTCCTTGTAGCTCATCAAGCTTTGTGGTGGAATGGTAGAGACAGGGAAACAGTTCAACTTATCCATCAGGTAGTGCCAGTACACAGTTAAAGAACTCTGATCTCATTTTGTGGTTTCTCCCTTGGTCTTTCACTTCTCCCTCTTTTGAAAGCTCTACTCTTTAACCCTTTTGACTCTTAACAGTGACTAACATTGAATTTCTCCTTAATGTATCACTTCTAAATCAAATATTAAGGTGATGAGAATAAAGGAAATGTTTGCCAACAAAAGAAACCTTGATTGTCCAACAAATTTTCCTGCTCAGCACTATGAGAAATTTATAGAGAACAGTATGGAGAATTTGTATACAGATGCAGGGGTGTAAAGGTTAAAGGATTATTGGGTTTCTAAAGGATCTTGTTTCACATATGAGGGTTGTCCTGACCAGGTCATAACATCTTTTATATAACAGCAAAGTGATACAGGTCACCCAATGATATAAGTTGGTTTCCTGTGGCACCTGAAGTCTAAGATAGTACAGTTTGGAATTGAATAGTTCAGACAAGAATTGTTTGTTAGTTACATAACTGTATTTTCACATAAAGGCTTTCGTCACTTTTCCTTCAGTGCTTTAGTGATTGGTATTGACAACCTGACAAAGTACTTTGCAGGAGATGAGCTGGTGTCATTCACACTGGACAAGTTCTCTTGTGCTCTGACTGAGCTTCAGAGCTTCCTATCAGTGAGTGAGATTTCCTCAATTGTCAACTCTATAATAGTCCATAGTCCTTCCCTAAAATCACATCTCATTTAAAAATTAATATTTCAATTGGTGAAAATGATTTATAGAAAAAAAATTTTTTCTGCATGGAATTGTTGCCCTTTGTGATTTTGTTTTGTTTGTTTTCTGGCAGTCATGGAGAACAATATGTTGATTATATCATTAGACTGGTGGTAAACAGAAGCTGTTACAGTGGAGAATTGTGAACCTTTTATATGGCTTCACATACCCCACACCCAGCCTTAAACAAGACCAAGCATAGACTGATAACTCTCTTATTTGCAGTACATTTTGTGAATGTGTACATCATGTTTTTGACAGTTCACTTTCATTTCCATTGACTTCATATCTTGCATAGAGAAAAATGTTTTCTTCTCTCACATCACCTAGAATTGGATTTTTGATGGCATGTTCGGTGAAATAATCAGTATCTGTATTTTCCTCAGATTCTTTTAGAGCAAGCACAAAAATCAATCTCAAGCACAGTGAGAACTTTTATCAAAGAGTAAGTGTGGTTGTGAAAATTCTTGTCAGGTTTGTCTTAAAAAGAGAAATTGGATACAATACACAATTCAAGATTGATTTAAGATTCCAATTGACACTGTCAGCTGTTAAAAACAGGAATTAAAACAGTTGTAATGATGCAACTACAATTAAATAATATTTATTGAATCAAATATACTCTAAAAAGAAAATTAAGTGTGTTGTCATTGTTACAATTTTATAACATACCTGTGGCTGCTCAAAAAGTAGATGAACATCAAAAATCAGTTGTAATGATGCAACTACAATTAAATAATATTTATTGAATCAAATATACTCTAAAAAGAAAATTAAGTGTGTTGTCATTGTTACAATTTTATAACATACCTGTGGCTGCTCAAAAAGTAGATGAACATCAAAAATCAGTTGTAATGATGCAACTACAATTAAATAATATTTATTGAATCAAATATACTCTAAAAAGAAAATTAAGTGTGTTGTCATTGTTACAATTTTATAACATACCTGTAGCTGCTCAAAAAGTAGATGAACATCAAAAATCTTTGCAAAACTAAATACTATTTATTTCCTCTCATTTACAGGGAAGTCAAGAAGGTTAAGGATGCTAAAAAGCTGTTTGACAAAGTCAGTGATGATTTGGATAAGTGAGTGTATAATACTTGACATGTATACTGTCCTTTTTGACATGAGCTCAGTAATTGGTGCTGTAACTAAAGGGTCATGTTGGATTTTCTCTTATTTACCCATTGGCTTTCGAGATAAGGCTCTTTAGCACTTTAAGCTCAAATTTTTTTTGCCATTTGGCAACTGAAAATCAGAAAAAAGTCATTAGAGCTGCAGGCAACACCACAGTAGCCAGCAGTCATTGTAAGGTTCACTTAATTTAACTTCTCAGGACTCGACACTTGAACAAGGAAAGAGGAAGTGGCAACATCCTGGAACTGGTTTATGACTTTTTCAGATTTCTATGTGGCATCTGCACACAGATTGGCCATTCAGTGACTTTTGCTGAAAATATACCAGCCAAATTTTTTTCCATTCACCTTGGTGACAAAAATGGTGGCCGCTTGATGCACTACTCCATAGTATGACTGGAAAAGAAATATTACAGCCTCCCTCCCTTGTAGCCTGAACTCTAGTTCATTGAAGGTGCCCTATCCCCCCATACCCCTGTACTCCCTATCCACCCTACCCCCTACACCCTACCCACCACTTCACTATGGCAGGTTGTCCTTTGCCCAAAAACATAAGACCAGGATTGTGTGCTTATGAAAATGTTTGTGATTTTTTTTTGTTTCCTTTTTAGTGCCTTGACAAGAAAAGCACAGCTTCCACATCACTGTAAGGCCTCTGAAGTGGAGGAGGTTAGATTATTGTTATAGTGTAGAGCTTCATGTGTAGTTGCTAAAAATTTTGCAAAGCCACCTAGATGTTTGTATATGTAACTTGCTGTGTGTTACTGTGCCTACCAATCTGTATTATATATGACGATTGAAGGACCACACTGAATACCTTGTAGTTAATTTAATTTTTTTTTTGTTTTATTTATTTATTTATTTTTAATTTCCACAAAACAGGTTAAGAATGCAGTGAATGCCTTGTAGAACATGGCAGTGTTAATTAGACCTCTTCATGCATATAGTCCATCTTTTCTAACAGGTTCTTTTGTCCTTGCAAATTTGAAAAGAAGTCTTAGTACAGATTGAATGAGTAGGACTGACTGGGAGAAGAAAGTGAACTTGTCTGTTTTTGTTCCTGTTATAGATTCTGAAGTTTATGCATGCCCAGTCAACATATTTTCATCAAGGTTATGATTTGATGAATGATTTAGATGCATACATGAAGAGGGTGTCAAATCAGGTGGGTTGAATTTGATTTACTATTAATAATTTGATAACAATGAAGATATTGGCTTCTATTATACCATTGGTGCAACATTCAACAAGTTTGGTGTTCTTTGTCTTTTTCTGTCAGACCTTTTAGGATTTTTTGTTCCTTGATGGAAGAGTTTGTATATTAATTTTAAACAATGATTCATTATTTCAGAAGCAGTTGTGAACTTAAAAATTGAAACACTTTCACTCTTAGGATCTAAAGATTTATTCTTCACACCATTTGCCACATATTTCTTATAATTCAAGCTCTGAGAATTTGGTTGTAATTATCAACCAGTATCCCCCGTCAGATATTTTTCAATCTTCTTATCAACTTTATGCTGAGAGTTGCACTTAAATTGTGAAGTTCCTCTTTGATCACTCCTGGGAGTGAAAGGGTTAAAATATTAGAGGACAGGTTTTGATCAATTGGAAATAGTCTGCTGATAGTGATGCTTAACAACTGTGTATCAAATTCTGTAATCCAGGTGGAAGAAGTGTCAGTCCAGTTTACAATGGACAAAAAAGAGATGGAGGAAAGACACACATTGGTCCAGAAAATGGTGGGTATAATATCAATTATTACAATAATGATTTAAGATCTTAAAAATTTTGCTCTGTCCTTAGAGCCATTTAAAATTTCTTAACATGGGCCTTAGAATTTTGTTTAAAAATAAGGTAAAGACAGGCAAAAAAATTATACAGTTGGGTACAAAACTTATACATTGGTTAATGTTTCCATATATTTATCATTTACCAGTAATTTCCCATTTTCATTCAATTTCCCCCCAATAAAGTGAGATTGAGTCTTGTTGTAAGGCTGTGAGAAAACAAAAAAAGATAGTGAGATTAGTGGGTGAGTTGTAATTGATTTGGCATGTCTATGAAACCATTCAATTAGATTTCTATGGTCGAATGTGCAAAAACAAAGGGCAGAAAATTTGTCAAATACCAGATTATGAAATTCATGGTTTTTACTCAAGGCTTGCTATCTTGGATTTGTGATTTTAGGAGGAGAGTGGATGCATAGGAAGAAGAAACCTGAATGATGCAAGGTAAACTGTTATAATTGTTGATGGTATCTGAACAATACTCAATACATGTTTTACATCATTCACAATGGAAAGTCTCAAAGTTTGTAACTTCTCTGTTTACTTTGAGGAGTGAATCTTGTGCATTCAGTTTGGTGAAAATCATGTTTGTGTTCATGTGCTTATGGGTTAATTTTCACCTTCTATTTGTTTGCAGTGGTTTAGTAATGGAAGGCTACTTATTTAAAAAGAGCAGCAATGCTTTTAGAAGTTGGCATAGGTGAGTGTGTGGTAGCAGTGAGTTAGGGGTGAATTTAGACTGAAATATTCTACAGGTTAGATCTCTGACTCTCAGAAGTTGTAGTGGATCTGAGTACTTTTTAATGGGATACTGATTGACACTGAAGTAAAACTGCAGCAGCTGATTTACCCTCTAACTCCTAAGAGTGACTAACATCTAATTTCTCCTTACAATAGGACACCTGAATCAAGCATTAAGGTCTCAAGAATAAAGGAGACGATCACTGACTAAAAAGCTATTGATTGTCAGGCAAATTCTCCTTGTTGGTCCCTCATGAAATTTGTAGAGAACAGTATGGAGAATATGCATACTGATATTAGGGTGTAAAGGGTTAAGGTCTTAAAATGATTTCATTGTAAAATACCTCATTTTTATTTTCCCATAGGCGATATTTCACAGTTCAGAATAACCAACTGATGTATCAGAAGAGATTAAAGGTGTGTATGACTGAATGAATGTAGTATTTAGATTACACACACTCACGAGTGTGATCACTAAGTGCAATTTCTGGTGTCACATTCTGATTATGTCAATCACATGCATGCTGCAAATGTCAACAGCCAGGTGCATACACCTATTTATGCATGTTATCATGCTTTGAATTGTGAATACTTAGGAAATTTATTGAAGTTTTTAATTAAAACCTTTTTTCAGTTGTACAGTCAAATGAATGAAGGGATTCGATGATGACATGCAGTTAATGTATCACTTGCATTCAATTTTGCAGGATGATCAAACAGTACTTGTTGAAGATCTTCGATTGTGTAAAGTTAGGCTTGCAGAGGAAACAGTGGAAAGAAGATTTATGTTTGAAGTGGTATCACCAACAAAGTAAGGCTACTGAATTCTGTTTTTGCAAATCTGTCAAATACACAGTAGACAACTCAGAATTGATAGCATCTGAGTGACCAATGGTTATTGTTTCCAAGATCTGATTGTTAATTCTCCCCTCAAACTGCAAGACATTTGTAAATTGGTTACAGGAATTGCTGTTAGATCAAGATAACAACTTCTTCCTAACAAGTTTGAGTATTCTCTTTACCTGATAAGTTTGAGTATTCTTGTTACCCATTTGCTGGATAATGTATAGATATTATAGGGAGAAGTGACATGTTAATCACTTTTTGAGTTTAGAGTTAACTGAAAATGATATCTTCTACTCTGTATCACTAGATCATGGTATTTACAAGCAGATAGTGAAGCACTGCAAGTGGAATGGATGGAAGCTATGCAGGTAAGTTTATCAAATTGAGGCAAGTGGAATACATAGGAACTGTGAGTCTAAGGATGTACACTAAATGTTGTGGGTGAATTTCTGCTGATGGTGAACTTGAGTGAGGTGTGGAGTGAGGTTGGTGACAGGGTTTTGTTTTGTTTGTAAAATAATGTTGTTTTCAATGGCAACCTTCCTTGTTTCCAATGTTAACCAAATCTCAAGAGCAGTGTATCATAAACTGTCAAGCATGTGAGATAGTGTTAAGAAATCAAATGACACAAATGACCCTGAAAACAGCACCAGTTGCCCATGATAACAACCCCATTTTTAACATCAAAATGTGGTCACCAAACTTTTGTTGCCCCTCTCAACTGAAAGTTGTAGTAAGTATAGGCTTGAAGTAGAAGTGAACGAGTTATCAGCTTTTGTAGAAATTGTTGTGTTGTGTTGGTAGAGAAGTGAATCCTTAACTTGATGATCAATAAGAAAGTTTCTAACAAAATACTGTTACTAAAATTTTAATTGTTATGTGGTGATTCACAGGCCAGTATTGACAAGGCTTTCAATAGCTCAACCAGTATTCAAAGTAACAATGATAAGGTGGGTGAATTGAAATTACTTACTTGCGCATAGTGCATGTGATCCCTGTGGGTAGTTTTTAAGTCATGGTTCCTTGACCTCAGGATTTCAGAGACAATCTAAGAAAATGTGACTCTGAGGACAAGGCAGTGCAGTTTTGATGAATCCAAGCAATATATATTTATTTATTTATTTGGCATATTAAAGTTCATTAATTAGCAGCTACCCAGATTAATTGCATGGTACCTTTCAAGATTGCCACATGCACTTTCAGTCCTTTTCTCCAAGAACTTTCCTCAAAACTACTGTATAAAAATCACATGACACAGGGACAAGTTGTTCAATTTATACCTTGAATCAATTTCACTAGCTGCACATGAAATAGATTATTGGGTACTTTTTTTGGTCACTGTTACACTGTTTTTTTTTTTTGTTTTCATTTCTTTAGCTCTTGTTTAAAATGTTCACAACTTTTAAATTGATTCTTTACACACTTTCTCTGTGAGCTGTCACTGATGTGCACCTTACCTATAATTTGTGATTTCAGGGGATATCCCTATCCTGTCTTTTTAGTTCAAGTTTAAGATAGAATTTATATATTTTTTTTTTTTTCAGAGTGATTTACAAGGGCCAGGCTCTATGAGCAACAGTATGGATTCTCTCAACAAAGTTTCTGGACCATCAAGGTTTGATTGTCTTGCTTTTTGCATTCTGTTGCTGGAGATTTCTTTAATGCAGTTAAAAGCAATTTAACAGAGTTGAAAACTAAGAGGATCAGTAGTATTCAGCTGTTTCTGCATATGCGCACATGTCAGAGTTCCATGTGCTCTCTGATTGAGGCATTCTTGCACGTGCTTTGAGCATGAGCTTGCAGCATGGTTTGGACCAACAGTTCATCATCCAGGTAGTTTTCCCCACCCCTTCCCCCTCTTTCCACCATTTATTCAGTGTGACTGAGGTCTGCTTCCCTTTTCTGCATGGGGGCTCATGGCTGGGTTGCATGGATTTGCCATGGTCCCTGCTCTCACCACTGTGCCATCCCTGCACTCATCACTGTGCCATCCCTTCTCCCATCACTGTGCCATCCCTGCTCTCATCATTGTTCCGTCCCTGCTCCTATTACTTTGCCATCCCTGCTCTCATCAATAATGCAAGGGTCTATGCTTCCATCACTGTGCCATCCCCGCTCTCATCACTGTGGCCCAGGTCCCTGCTCTCATCACTGTGTCATCCCCACTCCCATCACTGTGCCATTCCTTCCTGTTATTTCATAGACAGTACTCTCTTGGATCATACAGATGACACTCCATTTTGGACCTGGTTCACTAAAAGTTAATATTAATAATTACATTCATTTGGTGTTTTAACAGTTTTTATTACCTTTCAATGACAGAAGTAATCTTGATGTTATTAGAGCTGTCTCTGGTAATGACAAGTGTGCAGACTGCAGCAGCACTGGTGAGCATAGTACAACAATCTGTGGGAGAGGGTAGCTTTGAGGTCATAGGATTGTGTAAAGAAAGTTCACTTTTTAATACCATTTGGCCTTTGCATGAAAAAATGTGGGTTTTTTTTATCCTCCTTTTATGGGTTAGAATGTTTGCTTTTGCCTTTCTTTTTCTTTTTCTTTTTCCTTTTTTTTTTAATTTAAATGGTTTATATTTTGTAGTTACCAACTGTAGTAACTCTAATGCAAATTATTTTTTATCCTTTAGATCCGACCTGGATCTATGCATTGTAGAGTGCATGTGTTGTCAATAATCTGGTTTATGCCATGATCCTTAAGATCAGTGGTGCAGACAAAAGGCTCAGCTTTGCTGCTGTGTAGTTTTTCTTAAGTCCAATTAGCAGGTAAAACAACCAAACAAACATTCAGTAAATTCATGCCTCTGGGTCCAAATATCATCAGTTGAGGGCAGTGTGTTTGACTGAGTTACAAACTGTCCAGTGCATAATTACCTATTTTTTAAGTATTTAAATTTGATATATAATAATATTATGAGAGATCACAAAGTTACAATTATGTAGTTTAAGAAATGACCCACCGGTAATGCTTGTTTTAATAGGAGTTTGGGTGTCCACGTCTCCAAGGTTCGCTCATTGACCCTTGATGCATGGGAACCAGAGCAAGTCAAGGTAATATAGGATGCATACTTTTGTTATTTGTAAGCACAATGCTTTGGATTTACAACTGTTTTACTGGACAATGTGCTGACATAATGTTAATTGAGCTTGTGTCTCAAAGTGATCAAGGCATAATCTCTAACTTGGTGACAGAATATTTTTAATTTTAAAGAAAAGGACTTGGTAAAATAGAACAAAATGAATGTTATAGTAACTTTAAGGTTTTGTTTTTAGTTAATGACAGAATTGGGAAATGAATTGGTCAATGGAATTCTTGAAGCAAAAGTCAACTCCCATACAAAGAAACCAACTCCTCAAAGTAGCAGGTACTGTTTGTTGTTTTAAATAAATTATGAATTCCTAAATTTTTTGTAGTTAACATTTTTGAAAATAATTATCACATGATTTTTGTTGAAGGGGTGAAAGAGAGACTTGGATGATGTTAAAATATGTACAACAAAAGTTTGTTTCCCTGGAAACCTTTCTAAAAAACTGTCAAACTTTGGACAAAGGGATCATTAGAGATCTTGCAAGAATGAAAGTTCACCATGAGGAAAGGCACACACCTTTGGCCTTTGTGAGAACAGACTCCAAAAAAAAGTAAACGTTTCTAAAGGAAACTTGCCATGAAGTTAAAGTCAAAGATGGATAACTGAAAGAGTGCCCCTGCTGAAATACTCTCTGTGGATGTAACAAGTGAAGACTCTGAAACGTTAGAACATGTTGCTTCAAATTTTCTTAGTGATGAGATTGCTAGCAGTGACTCACATGATGAGGACAGGCCAAGAACTAGTGCACCATCAACATCATGTCAAGACATTGAGAGGCGACGGGCAGCCTCCATCGGAGCAGCTATGTCTTCTTACAAGGGTAGAGATAGGGTAGGTTCATTTGATTCAAACAGAAGTGAAGATGGTCTGACTTGCAAGGCAACCATTTGTGAAAGAGTGCAGAATAATGGCGATGGTGACCTGGAGAAAAGACTAAAGGAGGACAAAGAGAAAGCGATTGCCTTGTTGAAAAGAGTTCATCCCAGTAGGATATGTATCTTTAATTACCAAATAAAGAGGTCTGCACTATCTATTTATTTATTTGTTGTATCATTATATGCTGTTTTGTAATGTCCTGAGAGTTATTAAGTTGATACTTAGTGGTGATTATTGACCCTTTACACTCAAACATCAGCATGCATATTCTCCATACTGTTCTCTATACATTTAGTGACATGATGACAAGGAGAATTTGTTTAACAATTCAGTGCCTCTTTAGTTGGTGATCATGTCCTTTATTCTTGTGATGTTAATGTGTGATTCATGGGTGATACTGTAAGAAAAAAGTAGATACTGGTCACTCTCAGGGGTCAACAGTTTAATGGTACATGACATTGCTTGTGGCTTGTTTTAATTGTGGGTTTTTGTTGCAGTTACTTTTCAAAGCAGCAGAATGGAAGAGTCTTCCTCTTATGGCTGCATCACTTGCAGAAGGTAGACAAGAACATGCTGCACTTATTGTTTATTTAATGGCTGCACATACATTTCTGGAAAGTGATACTTACAGTAATCACACAAACTGTGTGTAACTTTCCACTTTCCTCAAAAATGTACAAGTCATGAAAGTATTTATGGAAAATTTTCAGGTGCCAAAGTGAACTGGGTAAATGAGGAAGATGAACGAAAAACAGCACTTCACCAGTCTGTCTTAGGGGTAGGTTTGACTCTTTCTGTTGACGGTGTTCTGCTATGCTAAGTACTTGCAATTCCTTCATGGAAGGGCCATCATGTAATGAAATTATTATTTTTTTCTTCCTCAAGGGATCATTACCAGCTTGTGAGTTCCTTTTACAAAATGGAGCTAAAATAAACCAGAAAGACAAGAGGGGAAGAGGTACACTTCATCATGCAGCACTTCTTGGGCAGACAGGGTGAGTTGATCAAAAATAAGATTCTATTAAAACCATTTTCTCTCTTACCATCACTGTTTTCTGCAGTCATTGTGAGTGTATTGAGAACCTTGTTTGTGTCTGTAAGGCAAAGCATTTTACTTCTTTTTCTTTCTTGCTTCAAGTTGTTATTATCAGTATATGAATATTGGTAAGGTTAAGACTTACAACCACATGTTTCAGTAAACGTTCCATAACTGTGTGTACTTAAACCTAGTTCCTGTAGGCTTCTCTCACCTAGAAGATTGGAAAACACAATCCTTTGTGGCCTGTGACTATTTTGTTAGAACAATTTTTGTTCTGACCTTCACTATTTCCTGCAGTCTTTGTGAGTCTATTAAGAACCTTGTTTGTTTCTGTAAGGCAAAGCATTTTATTTCTTTTTCTTTCTTGCTTCAAGTTGTTATTATCAATGTATGAATATTAGTAAGTTTAAGACTTACAACCACTTGTTTCAGTAAAAGTTCCATAACTGTGTGTACTTAAACCTAGTTCCTGTAGCTCTTAGCAACCAGTTCTTTCCTTAGCATAGTGTCTATCTCTAGAACACAATACAGTGGTGTGGCCAGGGCTTAAAACAGTTCACCCAGCTGTGGCATCATCTGTCATCACTTATATTAATACTGCTCCTTTATTTTCAGTCCTATCCTCTTGTTCCTGAAGCGAGGAGGTAACCAGCATGATGTTGACGAGAATGGAGAGGTGAGTGTGAACATAATGTAGCGATGCATGAAAAAAGCCCTTCGAGACAACCTCCCATGAACTGCTAGACTTTCCTTCCAAATTAATCTGTATTCCCTTGGAAAACAGAGGAAGCAGTAGATGTTGCATGAAAGGTCACAAGTGGCTTTAAAAACAGTGCTCATGAAAGTTTCTTTGATCAATTTCTTGGTTAATTTCAGGACCCTCTTACAATTGCACTAAAACAAACAAATGCAGATATTGTTACTCTGTAAGTATACAAATGCAATATAACAGTGGATATTGCCTGATTATGATTCTGTTCCTAGGAATTGGTTTTTTTATTTATCCTTCAAGAGGTGAATGAAAGAATCCCAAAAAATTGGAATTGGAATTCACACAGCAGTCTTTAGTCATTGTCATTTAGTCATTGAAAAATGAAATTGTTTATAGGTTGAGATTGGCAAGACTGAATGAAGAAATGAGAGAAGATAATGAGATTGCCCAGGGTAAGATCTTTTTAAGAGTGCTCCATCTATCTCTTTCTGATTTGTTTTGTTTTGTTTGTTGTTGTTGTTGTTGTTGTTGTTTTAGTTAACAGTGAATTTAAGGAGTGGTAAGCAATGTAATCTAACCACTGCATTGTTCATCATGTTTGTCTACAATGAAAGTCCACTATCCCTGGATATTTCTGGGCAAGCAGTATGATGAAAAATATTATGATATCATAAATCAAATGCACTCTACTTATCCATGATTATAAGTAGTTACAGAGGGAAATTACTCATCAATCACTCAAATGGGTGTAAAGGTGAACCCTTTACACCCCAACATCATTATGCATATTCTCCATAATGTTCTCTATACATTTCCAAGGGTCTAACAAGGAGAATTTGTAAAACCATGAAGAGCTTTGTTAGTTGTTGATCATTTCCTTTATTCTAGTGACTTGAACATTTGATATAAGGGATAGATTGTAAAGAGAAATTAGAACCTTGTCACTCTTATGGATTAAGGGACTAACTGCTGTCATTTTTTTTGTTTCAGGTGATGTTACGTTCAATGATGTGTTCAGAGATTTTTCTAATATGGCATCCAGAGACCCTGACAGGCTTAAACGCAATTTTGATTCAAGTGGACCAAGTAGACAGACACAACTGTGATAACAAAATCAATTTGTTCCACCTTAAATTGAAAACAATTATTTGAGGTCACTTCACATCAAAATGTTTCATTCCTCAAAAATAAGCAAATAAATTCTCATTTCATGGAAGAAACCAATTTGAATATTCACTCTAGATTTAATCTTACCACAAACACAAAAGGAGTAAAACATTATTTCCAATTTATGTTTAGTTTTGTAGTAATTTGCACCAATCAGGAATTAATGTTCACACTGACAATATTACTACCTGTCATGTAATGTAAGAAAACTGAACTGTACAATTAACATATTTTTTATTCATTAGGAATTTAAAATTATCCCCATGATAATAACAGCATCGTTTAGAACAGAGAATAGAATCTTGCACTGAATAACTTAAGGAAAGAAAACATATCAGTAAATCATTAAAAAAAAAAATAATGAAATTTGTAAATAAAATTTCCCCTATGACAACTGAATGGAAGGAAGGACATCAATGTTTCATGAAGAGTTGACTGTATGAATACTATGGTCAAAAAGTCAAAGTTGATCATTATTATATTAATATTACAATGCTCAGTTATGAAAAATTGTACAGACTAGCTAGTATTGAATCATTATTTAGTTGATTTTGACCAGACTAAGTGGTATCCTCCATTAGATTGATATTGATTTTAAAAAATAAAAACAGAGTGGTCTCTGCCTTTTTGTTTGAAGTCCCATCAGCTAATTTTTGTCATTTTGAATGGTGAAATGTTGAGGTTTGATATATCCTGTCATTTATGTTTACCTTTTTACACCCTAACATCAGTATACATATTCTCCAAACTTTTTGCCATACATTTCCTGAGGGGCTGGTGAGGAGAATTTGTTTAACAAACAAGAGCTGATTTATTTGGTGATAATTCCCTGTATTCTTGTGACCTCAATGTTTGATTCAGGTGTGATATTGTGAGGAGAAATTAGATCCTAGTCACTTTCAGGTGGGGTATTGGGATTTTCGGTTTTGCGGTTTTGGCTATTTTTAAGATTGGCTTTTCGATCTTTGTGCCAGAAAACTTCGGTTTTTCCTATTTGGGTCCCGTTTCTCTGCGATCTGAGCGGCAATTATGCGTCTCCACTGATCTCGAATAGCCCCAAAAGCTCTGTATGCTCCACTTGTCACCACTGCATCAGATCGATCAGGGATTTGATCACAAGGATGTTGAAATTTTTAAGACTGTTTTGCATGCGGTTTTCGGTTTTGATCCAATTTTTTTTGCAGTAGTGTGGTTTTGGATGATTGCGGCTGCTAATAGACCCCGATGCCCCCTTCCTCAGCGGTTTAACAGGTTTAAGGGTGTGCATGTCAACTTTTAAAAATGCCTCCCAAATATTTTAATTACGACCACTGTCAATTTGTCTCTTAGTCTGATTAGCAAATCAAAAGGTCCGCTTCAGGTTTCATTTATTCTCCTCTTTCGAAAAAGCCAAAATAAAACTCAAAGGAAGCAAAGATAAAAACTTTCGAAGTTGTAGTTGACGCAAATAAAGCATTTTAGAGACTTCAGAGGAAAAACAAGGTGTCAAGTGGAAAAAAAAGCACTTCCAAAACTGTTTTGTTTTGTTTTTCATTTCAAACTGTGGTAATGTGGTTTGTTTATGACACCAAATGCTTAGCTCTATTAATTATGAATGCAGACAAAACTTGGGATCTAATACTTTTATTTCAATTATTTTAATTTGAAAACAAATCTCCCTGAAAACATACTCCACCTTTCACATTCTTGCCAGAAACAAACCTAAATAAAACTACGAGGATTGCCAACTGTCCATATCATTTTATAATATAGCATCTTTCAGGCTCTAGCGCAGCTCCCCAAGTCCCAACCATTTTGGTCGCCATTGGGAGAGAACATTTGGTGACTGAAATTTCGACCAGTCGCCAATTGGCAACAAACAGGAGAACATGTTGAAAATTTGTCCAACGAAAACAAAACGTAATCTTTCGATTTCTTTACGTTGATTCAAATCAGTCAAATGTAAACTTAGCAGCATCATAACGTTGAAACGGTTAGATTTAAGTCGTTAAAATTTTCCCAACAGTGGCGCGTTATCGCGAAAAAGAAAATCTTGAAGTTGCGAGGATACAGATCGAGGAATTTCCGATACAGTCCCTAAAAATTGTATAATAACATTAGCATAATAATAGCGATTGCCAAGTCACGCACACTATTTCCATCCTTTAGTCAACAAGTATGAAATTGGTTCAACCTCAGCGAGGAGACCGAAGAGGAAGTGTTGGTTTTTGAACGCTTCCAAGACAGTCAGTAGGTGTTTCGGAAAACTGTTTTCAGCCACCTTAAACTAAAAGAAAATTTAAGGAAAATGCTGTTTTTATTAAAAGAATTACTCGATGCGCGTTAATATTCCGATTTGTAAGACCGACGTGTATAGCGTTATTGTTAACTTCAATAAATGAGATCTACGATATTTTGGCTTGTGGGTGGTACACATTATTAGTGTTTAAATTCGCCTTTTTCGCAACTGCAGAAAAAAGGTTAAATCATTGTCCAGCGGATGAAAATTCTCGCGAAATTTAATTCCCTATAGAACATTCAAATAACAGAAAAAATGATCTGAAATGTGAAAAAAACAACATATACAAGATGTGTATCGGCAAATACATAAAAATTTTATTAACTGGTCTTACTGGTAATTCAGTTTATTTTGTACCTTCTGTTGCGAAGTGTTGTCTTTAATTTGCAAAGGTTTTCGCATATGGAGTAGAGATTCTCGCTATCATCTTCATCTGAATCGGCTAGATTGGTCAAACTCCTTCGAATATCATTCGTCCAGTCGTCAAAAGTTACGACATTTTGGAAATTAAAATGAATTTGAAACGCTTGAATCGCGAATTTTAATTCCCTTCTTTTGTATCTGCCGGCCTTGTTTTGAGATCGCAAAAATATAACCTCGCAAAATACCGTCTCACCAAAATCATAAAAGTTCTCGCTACATAAAGTACCACTGAGTAAGGTGGAAGAACGGATCTTCTCAGATAAGTTGCAGTTGTGATTGCCAAAAAGAAGCCTGAAATCCTGAGAAGGTTCAAAATCGGAGGGGTTTCAAGCCCGTGCCTTCGAGACTATAACTGAGCTGCGTAGCCGCATGAAGGAAGAGGAACAGCCAAATTTAAGTAGGTCCTCAGGTTAGATGGTCCGACGGTGCTCAACTAGTATCTAGCATCAATGTAAATCTCTAAAAAAGCAGTACAATAGAGAACCTTTGACGCTGGAAATGATCCGTGGTTTCATTTTCATACGGGTATGTCTCCTATGTCTTCACTTTTGTATCACAGTTGGCAGTCGCACAAGTCAATCGAAAAAAACGATCTTGAAAACTGGTGAGAAAAATGAAAGTCGAACAACCAAGGCGTGTTTAGAGGCGCTCGTAATTAGTTAGAAAATTACTTTGGCTTAGGTAGAGGGGGAAGGTGAAGGAGATTGTGCAGCGACGAGTCACATCTCTTCTGGTTACACTACTAAGCGTGCAATTTGCCTTAGAAACCAAAAGCCTTCGCCATACTTGTGATTGTCATTTTAAAACCTCTATCAAAATAATTTCTGATTAATGACACTTTTAGCACGTGTCCATTTCAGTTTCTGAAAGAAGTCTAGAAATGCGTGCAGTAACAAAAACGGCGAAAATTCGTCAAAATCGCTCTGACGAATTTGACTACAATTCGTCAAAATCGCCAAATCCATGAACAACCACTCGGTTTGACAAAGTTTCGTCAAATCTGCCATTTCGGTCACCGCGTGCATTTCTGCACTTAAGTAAAGATATGTTCAGGGAGTTTCCTCTCTCCGTTTCCCATACCAGCTTCCTGAGTAGTGGAGAAAAGATGGCAGGTGAAAACAAACCATTGGTTAGTTGACAGCTGTAACTTTGCCAAGAATTAAAATTGTAGCTCCTCCCATAAAGAAACTGTGAAATCTGTAGCAATGACTGACCGGAAGTCACCATACTTTCATTATTTCAACTTACGACATAATGCGATTTTCATCTGATTGAAAACAGTGAGAATACAAACGCTAACAATGGATAATCTCAAGGAATTACTTAAACCAAAAACGTTTAACACAGTTAGCCACGCTGTAGTTGTTATTTGGATCCTGATCGGTGTAATCTTCCTTGGCATTTTTGCAGACGCAGAAAACAGCGAATCCAGGTATGATTTCCGCTGTGGCGGGGCGAAGAGTGAAAACATCGACCTTGTCCGTGGAAGATGTTTCGAGTTATACGAGAAGCGGTATAACAAACACGATGTTCCTATCTATGCCTTCGTGATCATGAATTTCTTCCTCATCGGAACTGTCTGTGCTATTTACTCCCAAATAGCGAGCCTCACAATCAATCAACTGTCGCCAAGCGCTCGTAACGGTGATCTCGAGGGGCAGTTGGACGACCAAGGAAACGCACTTTCTAGTAAAAAGCTGTTTATCGCTTACTGCTGTCAACTTTTCGCAAGGATTGTTTTAGGAGTTCTCTTCATGGTTCTACAAAAACAGTTTCTCTATCCTCTGGACTTCCCCCCCAACTTCCCTTGTTATCTAACCTCTGGAGGGATTCAGCCAATGAATTTTACTGGCGTCTGGCACGATTGTCATAATCAACGAGCAACTAAGAAAAACTCCTGGATGCGCGCTGTTCTTGTCATTAATGGAATTTTTCTCTTTGGCATTCTGTTAGAAACCGCCTATATTTTGCTACGAGCCTGGAAAGAGGATAGTTTCATGAAAAATTCCAAGTTTCTAAAGGCTCACCTGATTCCCTTCCATGCTGACTCGCAAAATGCTACCACATCGACTGTGTTGAGACCTGAACCTCCGCAGCAAGAAGAAAGAACAGAGCAAGAAACGAACGTCCCACAAGAACAGCACCAGGAAGAGGAAAATAAAGAACATGAAACGAACATCCCACATCTACCAGGCAAGCCTCAACAACTCCAAAAACCACCGCTTCAGGAATTCATCGAGAATACAAAAGAAATTATTAAAGAGGAGACCAATCAAACTCCCCAACTCCGGTCGCCTTTTTCAAGTACTCCAGGCGAAGGACACCGAGTTAAACATTTGACTCTGGATCAGATTTACACAAAACTTGTCGTTGTTCCAGACATGGCTAATTATGACTTTACTGGAGACAGACTGGAGAAACTGGAAGTCTACACCAGATCGGGTGAGGAAAACACAACACCAAGAGGGCCGGAGGACATTCTTAACCACAAAAACAAAAACGTTTTGATTGTTGGTCGTCCCGGAATCGGTAAGACACTATGCTGTACCAAACTTCTCAGAGACTGGGCATTTAACAAGGTATTCCATAAATCACCTGATTCCAAAATCCATTTTGATGCTACTTTCTTCATCAAATTCAGAGCATTCAACGCTAAAGCCGACCTTAGCCTGAGGGAACTGCTCACATTGTCAGAACATTCCCCCTCAGATCACATGGATGATGAAGTCTGGAAATACGTCCTTGATAACCCCCAAAGAGTTCTCATTATTTTCGATGGAATCGATGAATTTAAACATAATTCAAAAATCGGCGACGAAAATTTCGAGCCTAAATTCAGAAACCGCGCAGACGAGAAGATGCCCCTATACGCCTTGTACGAGAAACTTGCGAC